AGTGACTCTGAAAACTGACTCCATCAAATACTGTCATGAGATTCCAGGCTCCTTCTCTTACTGTAACTCTGCATCGGATCATCAGTGTTTACAAAAATGTATTCTCCAACTACTGTCCTGGAAAACCACAGTAGGGAAAACACAAGAGATGAAGGTGATGTTTGTTCTGCTTTGTTCTGTTGTGCGTCACTGCCAGCAAGACCTAATCTGTCTTCTTATCTGGTCCTTTTCTTTATCTGTTCTATGCTTTCCTACTTTTCCTTGATTTGATTATAGCTGTTCCCTCTCATCAAATCCCTTCTCCTTCTGCTGGTGGAGTGGGATGAAATCTGGTTAACAAGAATCTAAAATTCAGATTCAGGAGAACACTCCAATTTCACATGTTAAACCCATCGTATGCTTCAGCTTTGATATCGCCACAGGTGCCTTCTTCAGTCAGGCTTTCTAACTTACGCATTTGCCTCACAGAGCCCTCTTGCACTATCAAGTCAGTGGATAAAGGGATCTCTGGAAGTTCTGGGATATGGTATATGCAGGTAAGAGATGCATTTTTGGTATTGTGATGTTTTGATATTAAGGAGACATTTAAAAAGCTGTAGTGCACTGTATGAGTGTATTAAACTTGATGTGTACTTTTCAGAGATAAAAGAATCCTGAAAGCTAAACCAACATCTAAAAGGAGAGGGAAAAGAAGAGAACACTGAAGTAATGGAAGGAGTAAGACAGAAAGATGTGAATGGATACGCAAGAAAATGTGAGAGGAGACAGAGAATCTGGGAAAAAAGGAAGGAGTTGAAGAAAATCTGTCTTGACAGACAGAGGGGACATAAATAGCCCTTGTCATCAGGCAGCAGCAGCAAGTGCTGCATACATTCAAATCCGATTCCCAGGGCAGGAGCCACCAAAAGCAGGAAGAGAGGCCTTAGTCAGTGAAACTTGAACCTCAGTGAAGCCATGAGCCTGCAGACAATGGGACCGAGTGAGGGCAAGTGAACAATCAGAACCAGGAGGAAAACAGACTTTAGGCAGACAAAAATATTACATCAGCAGTCAATAAGGAAGCAAAGGGCAAACCCTCCTGCTTAGAGTCCCACTCCCACCCCTGCTTTTAATACATTCCTTCCTCAGTCTGATGCAGTGTTTTCTTTTGACTCTGGTTTTGTAATATTGCTGCTAAATACTGTCAGTGGCCATGCTGAGTGCTTGGCATCTTGATGAGGAATGGCCTAAGTGCAGGCTTGATGAGATGAAGTGTGAGCTTGCAAGGTATTCAGCAGCTTCACTTCTATGGCTCCACTCACAGCTGTGGGTGGCTACATCCGAACCTGCACACAAACCAGGTCATCTTTTGAGGTAACCACTAACATTAACAGGTATTACCAATTCAGAATGTCTGACATAAAGGTCTAGACTGCACCATAATGTGATGCCCAACAGAAATCTCAATGTGCCTTACATCTCTCTCCAGTTTGAGCTCACACTCTGTGAGCAAACTGCAGCTTTCCCATTTCAGAGCAGACAGACTTGACACAGCCAAGTTTTCGACCATGTAACCACAGTGCTCATCCTACCTACATGACATGGAGGATAAGTCAGCACATTGGGAATTGCATGAAGCCAAGGAGTATGGGGTCAGTCAGCAGGCTACAGAAGGACTAGTTCTGAGGGCAGTGCAGATATACCAGTGGCCAAAGAGCAGGCAGAACCATGCTGAGATGTGCCTGCTTCCTGGGGCAAAAGCAGCAAAGACACAGGCAACATGTATCCAATGTTTCTGTTATGTCACATAGAACTTTAAGCATTATAAATAAGAATGATCACAAATACTTTCTCAGATGAAGAACTGTTATAAAAATGAAGTGTGGTGGGAATGCTATTGCAGGATTTGTATGTGGGAGTAGTGATAAAACAAGTATGATCCCACAGTCAGCCGGTTGGAAAGCTGTGAGTCTAGAACGATTCCACATCCTCCTTATAGTAGTGAGACAGGAAACAATGAGCATATGGGGAAACAAAAATGGGGATCTGAAGTTTGAGAATGTGTGAAATAGAGATGAGATGGTTCAGATGGAGTGGAGAGCTCCCCATGGAAGACATTTATCTTAACTAACTAGCCATTCAGGGAGGAAACGAATCCCTAGCTGCAAGTATGGTTTTATATTCCAACACTGTCTGAGATTTTTAAAAAGACAATTAAGACTTGGACTTGGAAGGATTCGGATCCAACCACAGTTGCCTCTTGGGATTTACGGGATACTGATAGGTTAGTGAATCAAAATGACTTTCCAAACTGTATTGCAAAGCAATAAATAATTTGTTTTCTGTTACACTTTGTCTGCCCAAGGAGCAGAATCATTCAGACAACAGCAATCCAACCTGCCATGCCTTACTTACTGCCTTTAGCCATTTTTTCCCACATGAAATACATGTTATCTGCAACCGTGCTCACACACAGCTATGCAGGTTTCCCACATTCTCAGAGGTAGTGAGATGTGCTGGTATGGGTTTTTCCTATGTCAGGGATGATACTTCCATCCAGAAGTAACACTATTTGTGCTAGTTTTAATCTAAAATGAGAGAGAACTCCAAGGAAGGAAAGCCTATCAAAAATAGAAGTATTTGCTGAAAAGATTTACTGATCTTTTTCTAACCAGACAGTAATTACTCAACTCATTTCATTTACCCTGGAATAATGGAGCTTTCTACAGACTGTCACAAAATGTCCTTGTACTGCAGAGTTAGTAAAAATTAATACTGGAAGTCGAAAGCCCCACAACTCAGTGCAAGCTGTCTAGAACTGGCTATCTTAAACAGGTTTTTTAATATATTGTGCTAAATTCCTCAGTTCCTATTGGAATGGGAAGTATTTAACTATAATGATTTCACAAACACAGGATTGTTTAAAACACTCAGAACATTTATTAAGCATGCTCTTTTTGTACCATTACTGGGTGTCTTTTGGTTGTATATTATAACTACTGTTTATTTTACTCATACTTCTTATGTAGCATCATATTTTATTGCTACTTCAAATTCCCTCTTAACCACAATTGTTTTTTTTTTAATCCAAAGTTGCTCCTTCTGCTTCTAACACTGCTGTGGCATTTTAGATGTCAGTCTCAAGCAGCTGTCTGTCGCATTCCCATGCTTCCAGCCTTCCAGTTTTGTTTGTAGCTGGGTTTGCTGTCTCATGCAAAGCACGGGGATGTATATGCATAAGGAATATGCTCACAGGGAGTGGGAGCACTCTGTTTGAGGAAGAGGTGGGGCTGGGATCAAAGTCATCCCTCTCATGATGTGCACACAAAAGTCAGGAGAGCTGGAATGACGAACCTGGCCTATCCTGTCCTATGCATTTTCATCTAACAATAGAAGCATAGAATGGTTTGTGTTGGAAGAGACCTTAAAGCTCATCCAGCTCCAACCCCTGCCATGGGCAGGGACACCTTCCACTAGAGCAGCTTGCTCCAAGCCCCTGTGTCCAACCTGCCCTTGAACACTGCCAGGGATGGGGCAGCCACAGCTTCTCTGGGCACCCTGGGCCAGCGCCTCAGCACCCTCACAGCAAAGAGCTTCTGCCTAAGAGCTCATCTCAGTCTCCCCTCTGGCAGGTTAAAACCATTCCCCTTGGCCTGTCCCTACAGGCCCTTGTCCCAAGCCCCTCTCCAGCTTTCCTGCAGCCCCTTTAGGCACTGGAGCTGCTCTCAGGTCTCCCCTTCAGGAGCCTTCTCTTCTCCAGGCTGACCCAGCCCAGCTCTCTCAGCCTGGCTCCAGAGCAGAGCTGCTCCAGCCCTCGCAGCATCTCCATGGCCTCCTCTGCCCCCGCTCCATCAGCTCCACATCCTTCTTTTGTTGTAAGTGGGTTCTTGCGAGAGCAGAGGGAGAGAACCACCTCCCTCCACCTGCTGCTCACACTGCTTTTGAATTTGTGTGTGATTTTCACACACAAGCCTCAGAAATTCACCCATAAAGCTTCATTAAACCCATATCCAATGCTGGTGGTTTGCCAGGGGAAAACCAGAACAGGGGTTTCCAAATGAAGGTGTTGTGTTCACAGCACAGCAGCCAAGATAAATCCAAGGGGCAAACGCCTGTTTTATGTTTTTCCCTCTTTATTTTTTTCACAGGAAGCCTGCTCCTGCCAGGTACCTCAGTGCAGAGGCACAGGCTCAGCCTGCCACTCCCGGGTAGGTGCCCGAGATGGGTGTTGGAGGGAGCAGGGCTCGGCCCCGGAGCCAAACATGCTCCTCGCTGTGCACCCATCCCTACGAGCACCAGGGCAGCCCGGCGCAGGCGAGCGTTGGCTCCGTGAGCCCCGACCCGCCATCCACTGCCCAGGCCTCGTCACGGGCACAAGATGGCGGCAGCGGGCGCAGCCGCGGCCGGTCACCTCCGCGCCTCGTTGTGAGTCCAAGATGGCGGCGGGTTATCGCTGTGGAAGGTTGGCGGCGCGGGAGGGGCGGGGACGGTTGCCATAGTGCCGGTGTCACACCGGGGCACTTCCTGGTTGGAGGCCGCCGGTCCCGGGGCACTTGGCCGGGGAACTGCCGCTGGGGAGGGAGGGAGGGAGGGGACGGGCGGAGGCCCCGGAAAGGAGGAGGAAGCCGAGCAAAGGTAAAGGGGAGCCGGCAATGTCCGGCCATTGTGCGGCTCCCCCAGGGGTGGGGGAGCGCCCCACGCGCAGCAGGGTGGCCGCCTGGACGCTTCCTTCCCCCTGGCGTGGGGGGGACGACGTGTGTGTGTGTGTGTATGTGTATGTTTGTATGTATGTATGTATGTGTGTGTGTGTGTGTGTGTATGTATGTATGTATGTGTGTGTGTGTGTATGTATGTATGTGTGTGTGTGTGTGTGTGTGTGGGGAGATGCCGCGCCGGAGCTCCCCACCGGGGCGGCCGGGGTGGGACCTCGTTCCTACGGAGCTGAGGGGAGGTGGGCAATACCATCCTGCCCCCGGGGGGGGGGGGCCGGGCTGCGCACACCACCCGCGGGGCTGGGGAGATGGAAGCGGCGGGAGCCGGCTCCCGGAGGGCAGTGGAGTGATTCGGACGGTTCCATTCCAAGCGGAGGGGCTGTGTGTTCGGAGAGTCCGGGCTGTTTCTGCTGAGGGGAGAGGCGGGAAGGGCAGTGTGTATGGAGCTGTGGGGCCGGAGCGGTGCGGAAGGCGGTTGAGCCCAGCGGGCCGCGGGATCCCGAGGGGAGCCGTGTTGGAGATGCCCCCGGGTCCCGCTGTAACGCTTGAGTGAGGTGTGGTGGCGGTTGGGGCGGGGGGAAAGGGATCCCCAAACATGGTGGTGAGGGGTGCACTTCCCTCAGGAGAGTGAGGGGCGCTGGGCCTCGCATAGGGGCTGGGGATGCTCTGTGGTGTGTTTTGGGGTTCACGGCTCTGGGGCCTTGTTGTGGACTCCCCTTCTCTGTCCAGGTGGGAGCAGGGAGGTTTTGGATAGCTGAGCCCCTGTTTTAATGCGACTTTCGGGTGCTTCTTTCTGTACCTGCTCTCTCTCTCTTGTGCCTTTTGTAATGCTTCAGGTATGTGGTGAAAAGTGCCAGGTCTGGCACACAAGGGTCGGCAAGTCCTGCGTGTTTCCCTTCCCCCAGGATGTGCTGCCAACAGGCTTCAGTCTCCATCTCCCTCACTTAGTCCTTGCTGGGACCATCCACAAAAGAGCCAATTACGAGATGTTTCGGGTTCTTTTCGTGGTGTGGATGCTTGCCTGTAGGAAACCACCAGAACCGTTGGACTGCGGCTGAATGAGAGTCAGCTGGTGACTTAAATTGCCGTCGCCAATCTCCTGTACCAGTCGTTTGCCCGCATACACTTGAGAATAACTTTCGTTATGCCGTTCTGTGGAGCAGGCAGCTGCACAGAAAGCTGTCTGTGAATGTAGTTACTTTTTAGCTTTCAGTTACAGTGAAATGACACTAAATGCACATCTGCCTCGTTCAAAGCAAGTGCATTTTGTGGAGGATCAGTTTTATTAGAATAATTTTATTAAGTGGTTGTTCTCTGTGCTTGTTTAGCTTGGTGTCTACCCTGCAATCCGGAGCTGCTGTGTGACAGTCGAAACTCCAACTCTGCTAGGCGTGTGTCTATGAAATACAGGGGCCAATCAGCAGTGCCTGAAACTCAAAGCAATTTGCTTCAACGCTTTGTAGTGTAAATATTCCTACTATGAACAAAGGAGGGTGTGTCATTGTGCTTGTTTCGTTTGTGCTTCCTCATTTGTCGCCAGTCAATGGTTTTGTGTAGGTTCTTAGACAGTAGCAGACCTGTTTTGGTGTGAGTCTTGTATCTGAGCTGTCTTGGGCATTCTCCTGAGCTGGAACACTCGAAAGCTTGGTGTTGTATTAGGAATTTTTATGATTTTCTTCTTAATAGCCATGCTCCTAAGTAACTTAGTTTTGCTCCTTTTTAGCTTCTGTTTTCACTGCTTATGACTTTGAAGTTAATTTAACTTGGATGCAGTGTAAAATAAGTATTCAGTAGAACTGCCTTTTAAGCAGCTGTTCTTTTGCCCTCTGATTATATAGCATGGAAACCAATAATTTCAGACTTAATGTTTTGCCAGCCAGCTATCTATAAAACTTTGAAGCATGTGCTTCTGAAATCTCTGTATGTGTTTCCTTTGAGGGACCATAACATTTTGGTTCAAAGAAGAAAGTAAAGGGCAGTAAAATACTGATGTGTGTCAGTCAGGCTCTCTTCATGCTATTTTGTCTTTGTGTGTATGTTTAAACACAGTGCAGTTGCGTGGTGTTCCTGTGATTTCTGGTTCTTGGGAATTGGGGATATAAATTCTTAACATGTTAACTTCTTAGCATCTAAGTTAAGCAGATACTACAATAACGTACACACAGACTAGACCCAGGTCTTTAATCGACAGCTTAAAGGAATATCTTTTCTCTAGTTATAGTTCATACAGTTCTAATATGCTGTAATTTACATGCAATCTGGGTCCTATTAAGTATTCTGAAACAGAGTACTTAGTAAAAAAAAATAAAAATCTGTAAGTGTGGAAACAGATAACTAAATGTATTATTAGTGTGCTTGAATTTGAAGTCCTAAAAGGGTCCTCTCATTTGAAGTATTCCTTTCAAATCTAAGATAAAACCCTGGTAGTTTCACAGCTCCTTAAGGTGAATACCACCAAGGGCTGGTAGGTGTGTGTTAGCAGAGGAAAGACTGGCTGGAATACAAGGATTGGCTCTTTAGGAACTGAGAGGGATCAAAGGTATGTGTGTGGGTTTTTTATAGCCTTGTTAATTGCAATGGAAAGCATTACAGGACGTCAGGTATTATTCTGAATAAGAAGACGGTTTTTCCAAGATGGTATCTTTCAGCAAGACACTCAACAAGTAATGCTCTTTCTTTCTTTCTCTGTTGTGTAATAGTTGGAGAGAACCCTATAAGCATTGAAAGAAATCAGGTCGTTGGCCGGGAGAGCTGAGGCATGACTATTTAGTTTTTTACACGCATCTTAAGGAAAAGCATCAATGTTGTAATGCGCTAGTACACACCTGATATTTGCCACTGTTGATTTTCATGACTTTCTGGTACTTCTTGCTAATGCTATACTTGAAATTACAGCCTAGAAATGAAACTTTTTTTTTCAGGGACTTAAGCACTTTCCAGTAGTTCAGGTAAAATGATAAAGTTGTGAACTTAAGGGAAATCTTATAAAGCAGTGTTATTTCAAAGAACAAAATGTGAATTTAACCAGAAGTCTGTATTGGCTACTAAGCAGATATTGGCAATAGCTAAGTAAAATACTTAGATGTAGAAGGCAAGGTAGGAGTGACATCTTAGAGATGGTAGTCCAGTTCTGTGGTATACTGCAACAGTTGCTTTCATGGTTCTCACACGCTTTTAGGTAGTATTTAGCTGCTATATTTTCCCCTACATGTTTCCTTAGTGTGTGACTAGATTTTTGTAAACCATACGGTGCATAATTATCTGTTATTAGCCTTAAGTGGTTTTGAGAACTGATGTTTCGTTTTTTCCTAATGAACAGCCTTTTCTTGTGTATACACACAATAAAATGTCTTGTAAAGTGATGTCTTTGAGGCACAGTGGTGTTAGTTCATATTTACAAAACTAAGGTGAGACTGTATCTTTGGAAAAACAAGTTGGATGAGAGACTCTGTAGAAGATTAAAGAACAATTTGGACCCAAAGGGTAGTATGGAGCTCTGGTCAAAAGTGCTTTGAACCTGGGTTGAAGGCCACCTGTTTGACTCATTTGATGTTCTCAAGATAATAGCTGTAATTAGTCCGGTAAATAATTAAATGTCATGGTAGTCCTCTCTGTGAATTCTTACACCAGTAATAAAAAGGAAGGTGGCAAAACTGCACTTCTAGTGGTGTTTTAACCAGATACTTTGATTAGGCTTTGTGTGCTTCATGTAGCAGCCGTTCATAGAGAATTGTCAGGACCAGCAGTTCAAACTATTCCTCTTCAGTAACTGCACCATCTAATGGCTTTGTGTTCATTGGGGGTTAATTTATAACATTTGCATATGTATTTCTTCAGCATGATACCATTTTCTTCCCCTGCTAAGCCTCTTCCCTGCCTTTTGAATGCAAAAAGAGTTGCTTGTAATTGTCAGTCTGCAGTGTTTTCAAAGGCTTCCTGTTGTAGTTGGATTCTTTTTCTTTTACAAAACTGGTTTTAGCATTTGATACAGGAGCTTTCCTGTGATGTGAATCCGGTCCTGTAATAGTTCCTCTACTTCTTTGGCACGTGCTGTTAATCTGGAAATGTTGTGTAAAGTCAAGCGTCAGAAAAAAGTTAGATCCCTACTTTTGTCTTTTTGTGTTTTAAACCTTAAGAGATCAGGAGAGTTGAGGCTTGAAATCCGAGTCAGCACAAGACACTCTTTGGGTGGATTAGTATATGTGGTCAGGTTCAGCAAGTTCTGGTTGATTTTGGAGAGAGGAAAGAAATCTCATCCTATTCTGTAATTTACAGGAACTCTCTGCTTGTGCAGGTATTAGAGGAGAGCTCTTTAGCTTAATAGATGTGTTCAGTTTTCTCTTTTCATCTCAGCTGTGAGGTTAAGTTACTTTCGGTTCGCTGTTCTGTCAGACTTGTATAAACTTGCTTTTAGCAGCAGGAGGGAGATTATATAATAAATTTTCCAGAATGTCCTTGCTGTGCTGTCGTTATTGGAGATTAAATCCTCTACATCTTGCTTTGGGGAGAGCCAGGCACATTGTTAGTGAATCCATATCTGCCCTACTTTGATACCTTTTCTCATTTTGGTTATGAATTGGCTGAGCTGATGTGTTACGGTTGCTACAGGCAGTAACTTCTTTCAGGTTTTCCTGCAGAGGAAGTGTTGGATGCTAATGCCAACCCATGCTGCTTTAGTAAACTGATTTGTAGTTCTTGTGTGTTCATTAAAGAATATATTACACCTTCCTGCTTGCTACTTTGGTATTTTCAGTTACTATCTCCATGTTGTAGTCTTGTACTTTTAACTTCTGAGGGGAGAAGTTATACTTTATGAAATAGTATGTGCACACAAGTTTCTAATACGAATGTTAGAAGAAAGTACACATTTGGAGTTGATAAACTACAAAATATATTCATAAGCAGTAAAGTTCCCCAGTCATAACAAATACATCTTTGTGTTCATTTTTTTAACAAGGAGGAATGAAAGGATAGTAGGAAAGGCAGTTTATATGTAAACATTTATTCTACTTATTTGAAGTTCAAAAATGATTTGTCTCTTTATTTTCCTACCATCATTAGGACATGTATACATCTGAGAAACCGCCTCCAACAACATACTTTGCTTCAAGACCTCTCCTGGATTATACGCAAAGAAGTTTCCAGTCATGAGTAAGTAAATTTATTTATTTAAGAGAAAAGAAACCCCTAATTTGCAGTTGAGAAGCAGTGTACTTCTGTAGTGGGTTTTATAAGGTGGTTCCTCCTCAGAAATGTTCATATGAAGTTTTGTCTCCGCAGTCGTTTAAAAATAACCAACTAAAACAGATTTGGCAGATGCTGTTCCTAATCTGCAGGTTTTTGATCTGTGTATGCTCTGTAAGACTCCTGTGTTGGTAGTCTGGTAGAGTTTTCAAGAAGGTGAGTTCTGCTACAAGCCGATACTTGTTTTTTTCAGTATAAATAAAACATGGAAAATGTCTTGGGTTTGTAAAGAGCTACAAAATATATGACCATCCAGTAAAGTAAAATAGCTGGTAAAAATCCAACATAAAATGAATGGACTTCATTTTATGGGGAAAAATAAATATATTACTTAAATTTCAGTATACATGTCTGCTTCCAAAGGAATTTTGGCATGAGTAGGAAAGATCTGAGCCATAGAAAATTGACTGAAGATCTGTTTTGGTGGAAAAAAACAGATGAAAGACACCAGAAGTTTTTTTTTTTTTAAGCCGCATCTGATGGGTAAGATAATCTCTTTTTAGCAAACTGTTTTGAGTATTTGAAGGTCTTTCATAAATTTTGTGAATGTGACAGTTCTTCATGTAATTCTTTGCAGCAACATTACCCAGACTTACACCATGTAGAAATAAGGATATAACTTCATATGCACAGGAACTGTATTTATAATGTAACTCGGTCTCAACACAACTGTACTGAATCTCTGAAGAACGAGCATCCAGTTCATAGGATAATTATATTCTGTGGCAGTAAAATAAGACCATTTGATTTTCTGGGAGGAAGTGAGTAAAGAAAATTGTTGGTTAAATTTCGTGTCAAACTAAATGAAAAATGACTGTTCATGACATCTGGAAGGAAAAACAAGAATGATGAAGGAAATGGTTGCTAAATGCAGCAAAGGGAAATCTACACCAAAAAAAGGTCTGCAAGTACTGCTGAACTTTGGGGTTTGTGCTTTGAGTAGATAGAACTATTTTAGTATTTATATAGAACGATACCTGTTTTCTCTTTCATGTTACTGTTCACACTTGTTTCCTCTCTGACGTTTAAAGTATTTGCTCTACTGCATCGATGACAATGTTCCAGGCAGTTATTCAAGTAGCTGAATATTCAGTTTGTGAAATGCTGCTATATTAATCATCACTTGTTTTATAAAGCATCTCATGTGCTGTCACTGCCTTATGTATAGTCTTAAACATAACCGAAGATTGCAAGTCTTCTTTGAGTCATAGTTGCTGTGTTAAATGTGACTTGTGAGTGTGTTGTGACAGTTTAAGTACAACAAACACTGTTGGGGCTGAGCAAAACACCATTGGTTTTGGGCAGATTTTGACAGGATTTCAGACTGGAGAGTTTGCCTTTATATTAGGAAGAATGAAGATCCTTATTCAAATGAAAGATAACATTTTGGCAGTATTTTTTGTGGTGGTTAATAAAGATACTATTCAAAATGCAGTCTCTTTGCAGGACACTATATTCTTGTGGTAGGTTAGCTGCTTAAGTCCATGCTTAAGTGATGAGCTTCATGGGCATAACAGAAAATTCCTGTTCAGCTGGTGCTGGATTTTTTAGTTTATGGTTTACTTCAGAGAAACTTGAACTATAAGCACAGTCTACAGGGTTCTCTCTACTAAATACCTCAATCTATAAGGTATTTATCATCTTATAAAGATGTATTTATGTGCATACTTCTGGAGATGTAAGCTATTCACAAAATCTGTGGGCACCTAGAATAGCTAGATGTGGTAAAAGTGATGGGAGTCTCTAGTATTCCAGACATGTGCATCACCTAGTGTAATTCAAACCAAAAATCTGTATAAAATGTGGGAACTTCAGACTTGGGAATGTCAATAACTTCATGGTGTTAAGAGAATTCAGAATGATATGTGCAGGCTACATTATAGAATCCTACTTGTTAATTTCTTGTGATAGACTTGATGGAATTTCTGTTTCCATTGCTGCTTGTGAAGGGCTGTTCTGGAATTTCAGATTAAATCCCTCTTCTAATATCTATCCTAAATCTACTCCCAGGCAGTTCATATCTGTTGGTTTTTTTTGTTGCCAAACTTTATTCTTTAGCTTAAAAAGTCGTTTTTACCTTATATCATGTTTGTCATTGCAGCAGTTTGTTCCATGTAGTGTATTACTTCACTGAAATAGCTTGTAGAAGTAAATCTGTAATATCTTGGTGCTTCAGAAGGACACAAGCTTATTTTTAAGCAAATGATTAGTTAAATGTTTTTGGAAGGTGAACAGGGAGCTACTGTTGTTGTATAACTTGTAATAGTTACCAGGTGTGTGGGTAAGTGCTTTGGATCCTGTTGTGCTGGATCTTCCCCAGAGTGTGGGAAGAGTATCCACAGAGTTGAGAAGTCCACCATTCATGGCAGTATTGGGCAATACAGAGGATCTGAAAAGGTGTTAAAACTGAGGCAGTCTCTATTAATAAGGCTTTTATTTTGTGGAATGCTTTTATAAATGTTTGCTTTCATAAATAAGGATAAGAGAAATCTGTATTTGAAATTATATTTTAACACTGTGTGCTCCATAGGACAGTGATGGCATGTGCTTCAAGGGTGGGTAAGAGTGTACAGTGGAGCTAAGTTAGATTGACTTTTGTTTTGTATTTAAAGGTAACTTGTGAGAGAAATCCTGGCTGTGTGTAACCTGCCAACAGTGTCACACCACAGAAGCAGTTGGTTTCATAGAATCATAGAATAGTTAGGGTTGGAAAGGACCTTAAGATCATGTAGTTCTAACCCCCCTGCCATGGGCAGGGACACCTCACACTAAACCATGCCACCCAAGGCTTTGTCCAACCTGGCCTTGAGCACTGCCAGGGATGGAGTATTCACAGCTTCCCTGGGCAACCCATTCCAGTGCCTCACCACCCTAAAAGGAAAGAATTTCTTCCTTATATCCAATCTAAACTCCCCCTGTTTAAGTTTTATCCCGTTATCCCTTGTCCTGTCACTACAGTCCCTAATGAAGAGTCCCTCCGCAGCATCCCTATAGCAGCCTTCCAGTATGTGAAGGGGGCCTATGAGGTCTCCGTGCAGCCTTCTCTTCTCCAGGCTGAACAACCCCAACTTTCTCAGCCTGTCTTCATACAGGAGGTGCTCCAGTCCCCTGATCATCCTCGTGGCCTCCTCTGGACTTGTTCCAACAGTTCCATGTCCTTTTTATGTTGAGGACACCAGAACTGCACACAATGCTCCAGGTGAGGTCTCACAAGAGCAGAGCAGAGGGGCAGGATCACCTCCTTGGACCTGCTGGTCACACTCCTTTTGATGCAGCCCAGGATACGGTTGGTTTCTGGGCTGTGAGTGCACACTGAAGCCGGCTCATGTTCATTTTCTCATTGACCAACAGCCCCAAGTCCTTCTCCTTGGGCTGCTCTGAATCTTCTCTGCCCAACCTGTAGCTGTGCCTGGGATTGCTCCCACCCAAGTGTAAGACCTTGCACTTGGCATGGTTAAACCTCATGAGGTTGGCATCAGCCCACCTCACAAGCGTGTCGAGGTCCCTCTGGATGGCATTCCTTCCCTCCAGGGTGTCAGCCGAACCACACAGCTTGGTGTCATCGGCAAACTTGCTGAGGGCGCACTCAATCCCACTGTCCATGGCAGCGACGAAGATGTTGAACAAGACTGGTCCCGACACCGATCCCTGAGGGACACCACTCGTTACTGGTCTCCAGCCGGACACTGAGCCATTGACCACAACTCTTTGTGTGCGGCCATCCAGCCAGTTCTTTATCCACCGAGTGGTCCATCCATCAAATTGATGTCTCTCCAATGTAGAGACAAGGATGTTGTGTGGGACAGTGTCGAACGCTTTGCACAAGTCCAGGTAGATGCCATCAACTGCTCTACCCTGTCCATCAGTTCTGTACCCCATCATAGAAGGCCACCAAATTGGTCAGGCAGGATTTCCCCTTAGTGAAGCCCTGCTGGCTGTCACCAAGCACCTTGTTGATTTTCATGTGCCTTAGCATGCCTTCCAGGAGAATCTGCTCCAAGATTTTTCCAGGCGCAATGGTGAGACTGACTGCTCTGTAATTCCCCGGGTCATCCATTTTCCCCTTCTTGAAAATGGGGGTTATATTTCCCTTTTTCTAGTCATTGGGAACTTCACCTGACTGCCATAATTTTTCAAATATGATGGCCAGTGGCTTAGCAACTTCATTTGCCAGCTCCTTCAGGACCCATGGATGGATTTCTTCAGGTCCCATGGACTTGCATACGTTCAGGTTTTTCATTTTTTTCATTTACACTTTCTTTTCATTATTTCATTACACTCTTTCATTTTTTCATTTACACTTTCTCTCGTTATTGACAGCTGCCAGAAAATGTGTAGTGTAATGATAAATTCTTACAAACCGTGCTCCTTGTGTTTGGGAGTTTTCCTGTGCTTTCTCCTTTGAAGAAAGGCCAGTGCAGTGAAGTTACTTGAGTTGCTGCAGTGAACTGTGCAAACAATTAAACTTCAATGTTGGTGTATATTGCAACAAGCTGCTGACACCTTCATACTCCTTTCCTTCTTAAATGTATAGGATGCAGTGCCAACTTTTTTTTTTTTTTCTGTTATTCTGCTGTCATAAATTGTACAGAAGAATTCTTTTTTGGCTTTGTCTTTCTGCTTTTAGTTTTGTTCCTCTCACCCTGGCAACTTAACAGTGCAGACAGTTGGCAAGTTAACCTGCTATTCTTCAAGGTTTGTTATATCTCTTTAGGTTTGCCTTGTGATTGACTGAGGGTAGGAGCATGTTTAGTGTGTTTGCAGAGATGCTGTGCAATGTAATCTTGTGTTTTGAAAATGGTCAGTGTGGTCTGGTGATGAGGTGGGAAACTTTTGCTTCAGTTCAAATCAAGACCACAGTGGTGTGATTAAAGGTTGCTTCTGTTTGATAGCTGATTATATATCAT